AGTCGTCATCAATACGAAATAAAAAGTGGAAGGTGTTGTTGTGATGTTCTCAAAGACAAAAACTGATCTAGATCCAGGTATCCTTCTGGATCTCCAGATTCTGCTTTCAGGTGAGCTTTTAAAAATAATCTACACAAAGAAAACCTCAACCAGGTCAGGGGTCAGGGGTCATCAGGTCAGATCAGGCTATTGTGTTCTTTTATAATGTGTTTAAAAACACTTTTTGTTCTTTAGGCACCAGAATAACACGTGAAGAAGCAGCTAGCTGGTCATTTATTAGCGTTTTCTTTTAATTTGACATGTGAGCTCTGCTTGGCTTTGAGGAAATTAGAAAACTGACAGGTATAATGGAGGTGAGCAGAAAGCTCCAGGCCGAGGGCTCCGGGGACTCTAAAGAGGTTAATACAGCCATGCAGGTGAGATCTCACCTGATGATAAAGATGATGAAGAGGTTCTGAATAAAATAACATTTAAAACTCAGTGCATAGAGCACATTTGTTTCGTTTCTCTGTCGACTAATTGCATTGATTAGTGAATATTTCTGAATTTTCAAATGAGAGTGAGAGATGTTAGATCTCCCTATAAAAAGCTGAGCTATGCAGAAGCTCGTAATATTGTAAAGCCTGCTAAAAAGAATAGATTAGCTTCAGACACAAACAGCCTGAGAAGCAAACGTCAGAGAGGAAAAGCCTCGTCGTAGCCGTCCGGTTAGGACGAGGCGGGGGCCTTTTTCCTCATCACCCGCCTCTGCCTGACGACTGGAGCCACAGCAGCGCCGGTGTTGGGGTTGGTGCTGGCGCTGGTGTTGGGGTTCGGGTTGGCGTTGGCGTTGGCGCTGGAGCTGGTTGCGTGGCTGGTTTTGACCTCATCGATAAAAGTTTCTATGGCGGTGAACTTATCGGTCAGATCGCCCAGACGAGTCTTGAGGGCGTTGAACTCTTTGAAGAGGTCGTCTAAGGCCTCAGACAGCGGCTGGATCCTGAACACGGGGCGAGTGAAGACAACATAAATCAAACACACACACAAAGCTTTAGCTTCCTCTTCATCCTGTGCTAGTAGAGATTGCTGCCTGTTCGCCACACACATAACTGTCACTAAAAGTCTTTTTTGGCAGCACACGTGTGATCCTGGCTGCAGTTACTGCTCCCTGTTCTAGTTTAAAAGTCTTTTTCTTGCAGGTTTTACATGACATCTGTAATCTATGTTCATGTCTAGTTACCCAGAAATATAGGCTACAAAATCTTTCTTTATACTCGTGTTGCAAACTGCACTCTCTCTTCTCTCATTGTGAGTGGGTGTGTTCCTTAATGTAGACATTTAGAAAGCAAACCATGTATGAAAGCGACCAACAGTCCGAGATCTAAAAGAAAAGAACTAAAAGACTTTATGTAAGAAAAGGAGAATTTGAGGGAGAAACATGTCTGCAGCTGTGCTTATGTAACTTCTGGACCGCAGCGATGTCTCGTCTGCTGACCTGCGGTGAGCGGCAGGAAGCTGCAGAGTTCCCCTCTGGAAAACCGGAGCTCCTTTCGCTCAGTTTCTATTTTGATGCTTAAATTGCCGTTTCAGCTGCAGCTTCCTGTGACGACATCGGCTGCAGAGCGTACCCAGTAAACCCCCCGACTTCATTTTCAGCCCCGCGGCTAAACCGCATTCCTGCGGTGCCTCTCAGAGACTGTTTCACCTCAGTCACGGGGAACAGTTTGTTCGTTTACACTCTTCTGTTACTGTCATGGATTTATGCAGTGAGAAAAGACCTAAATATATGCTTTCTATTTCAGCCTCTGTTTGTCTTGATGACAGCTTTGCACACAGTTGTCAGTGTAGCGGCCAGCTTCATGAGCTCGTGCTGGATTTCTGGACTTCTTTGTGCACCTATCAGCTGTGCAAACGGCAAAATTCAGCAACTGCATTAGTCGCATCATGGCAGGAACACTCAGCTAAAAAGAACACAGTAGATCTGAACTGTGAGGCACGTCAGAGGGTTGTGTGCCGTGGGATTTTGTGGCGTCGTAAACGAATAAATGAGACCCTCTCTCGTACCTGGCGTAGTCCGGCAGGAGAGACTGGTGGTCATTCTGCAGGAGCCCTTTTATCTGGTTGATGATGTCGAACCGCCAGTTGTCCAGAACCTCGGTCAGGTTGGCCACATTGCGCATGTTCACCCTGTCAGCTGGGACAGAAAGTCACAGCACTGTTAATCTTCAGCCATCTTCACTTTGTAA